CACACACACATGCACCTGCATCTGCACACACACAGTGAATAGATAGATAAACATTATAAAAGATGGACTATGATCTTAGTTGGAGGGAAGCAACATTCCTCTTACCGTTCCAGTCTTCGTTAGAAAGTAGATACCTAAAAACACTGAAGAGACTAATTTTAGGTCAAGGTCAAGTCTGAAACATTCCATGGTGACTAAGGTATTATCCAAATGCCTTTTTAATTTATGCCTGGTCCCCAATGGAGGAACAGGTATACTTTCTCCCTGGTCCTCAATACAAAGCTCTCTAACAAAGGGCCATAATTTTCTGACCAGAGGAAAACAAGAAAAGCTGCTACTACCAGCATGCCAGGGCTCAGCAAAGTTAGCAATTTATGTATTAAGTCAAAATGATGCTAACTTCTTTTTAAAAGCTGGATTTCTAAAAGAAATTGTCCCTGGATCCTCAGGATTTCTCATAGAAAGGCATTCTCCTAAAATATTCTAGGATAAAAGTCACACTATTATTTGATCTTTCCTCTTAGTAGTGACTTATCACAAACTAAACTGAATAAAATTTCCATCAAAAGTTAGCTCACATTTTCTTCCAGTCATTTTCTCTTCTTAAAACTGACATCTGTAATAAAGAAAAGCATGTCAAAGAGGTCCGTCTGCTATGGGGCTTAAAGGACATAGAGACACAGACTTCACAGACAACAAAGTACCAGGCTATTGTTGCAGTTATCTTAGAGGAGTTCTGATCGTGTGATGAGCATCTCCGATATTCATTCTTGCAAAATTAATATTCTACATTCTCACTAGTGGAGCCACACAGGGAGAGAATTTCTTTCTTCTCTTTTCTTGTTCCCTCCCTTTGATGATATTAGGTGGTCAGGGAGAAAAAGAAGAGGAGGCTCTCAGACATCACACGTAGCATGTCCAACAGACGTCGTCGGTAGGAGTGCTTCTTGTTCCTATAGCAAGTAAAAGTTTTATGTGCATAAGAAAAGTAATGCATAAAATATTCAAAGTCAAGAGAAAGTGGATATTTAAGCAAAATTTGCATGCGTTCAATTTGGAGATACTTCTTTTCACTCCCCACTTGTTTATTTGATACTCATAGCTGGTGATATTTTTTCCAGGCCATGAGTTTTCTTATTCTTTCTACTGTAGCCTACTAATAATGACATGTTCAACACTCAACCTGTCCTTTCTTGGTCTTAGAGCAAAACCTTGGAAAATATTCTTAGCTAAGAGGATGTCAGAATGATGGTGAAATGACAGTGCACTGAAGAATATAAGAAATTGAGGAAACTTTAAAGCCTAAAAGTTTATGAATTGAAAAGTTCAAAACATTGTCTCATATTCTATCTGATATATATTGAACTTAGGACCTATTGATATTTTCCATATCTGGTATTTATCAATTCATAGCTAGAGGAAAGTAAAATTTATGTGAGATGGGTTTATCTCCCAAGCATACTCTTCAAATGATGACCTCACACAAGTGAGGATCTGGAAGCAGTTTCACCGCCCCAGGGCTCAGGCAGGAGTATGTCAGGGCTCTTTGCTGGCACTGCACTGAGGCTTCACAGCTACGCCTTTGCCTTAATTTGTTTTCTGTATAACTCAGAGTGAGCAACTTTCCTGTCTCTGAGTATTGTTTTCTGAATCTGTGCATTATGCATCTGGGATTGTTCTGAGGAATGAGACTGTGTCTTTAACTGTTTGTTGTACATATTCATAGTAGCTTCCCATACATCTTAGCTACTTTGGAGAACACAGGCAGAGCTAGATGTGCAATACAAATAAATAATAATGGAGGGAGCTGAATTCTTCCATCTGGCAGGGGAGAATGGCAAGGGGCAAGCAGAAGAAGACAATTTAACTGCTTTTAACGCATGGGAGATGGATGGAGGCCAAACCTCTTTCGGAATATGGTTCTTGTTGACGACCTGGGACATAGCATAGATGTTGGGACAGATGATATTAGCAGTCTGTGGAACACATACCATTTCTGACTCAACTGACGGAGTTTGCCAAGTCTTGGTTACTGAGCTTGGATTATTTTTAATTTTACTAAAAATAAGCAAGCAGAAATTCTATTATATTATGTAGCAATGATGATGATGATGATGACTATGATGACAGAATTGTTGAGTCTCTCTCATGCATTGCTTCTTGGTCAGATTTATTTCTCACACTTGAGAATTGTGGGCTTATCTTTGTCCCTGAACAATGCCAAAACCATGAGAACTCATAGGAGACAAGAATGGAAGACTTCTGTATTAAACAGGCTTTTATGACTTCTTGAATACTTCTTTTCTACTTACAGTAGAGAAAATATCTCTGCTGACTTCACAGACATGGGGATGACACCCCAAAGTGCCCTATGAACATCTTTAGGCAATGAGGGGTGGGGACAGATGCCGTTATTGGCTAACTACAAGCCAAGGGACATAACTCAGTGCATTCTGAACCTGGAAGAAAACCCTATCAGATTTGACCTCGCTCGGCCTAGACATACTACTTGCACATTTTTCTTCCAGTAGTTAGATAATAGCAAATCTCTTCTTCTCAGCATATTCTATGTTAGAGGCAAAAGTTTAAAACCCCTAAAGGCTTTGGTTTTTTTTATATGAACAGTCTGCTTAACAATTTCTCAAAAACAATTTTCAGGTTTTTTTTTTTAATGAATTGTAAACTTGGTCAGTGAGAGAATGCTTACAGATAAGTAATTGCAAACAGTGTAAACTCTGTGAAAGAACAGAGGGAAGCATAACCGAAAGACATGAAAAGTTCAGAGGCTAAAGAGAGTCCCATCTTCTGGAGGCAAAAGATGCTGTGGACAGCAGATCTGAGGACAATGGTTGCTGAAATGTATAATTCTTTTGGGCAAGTAGTGAGTTGCATGGTTGACTGGAGAAGAGAGGAAAAGAAACCAATGAAACAAAGAAGGTGAATCTATTCTAAGGCAGATGAGGGCTTACTAATATTGAAAAGCTAAAAAAATTATAATACATGCACAGTTAGGCTCATTTTAGAAGACTAGAATCAATAAGTGTGTCACTGGAAATCTCAGAGGTGAATGGCAGCAGAAGTTGGAACTCAAGGCTTCTGACTGTAGTCTCGGTTTACTGTTTCACAAAAGTGAAATGCTTCTGTATGGGCGGGGGGGGGAGTGCCTGGGGAATTGCTGGTTTGTTCTTAACCAAAAACAATTGCTTCTGATATTTATATGTAATAAATAAGAGTATGTTGGCTGACAATATTGTTTTCTGAAATTAGTATAAATCTTCATAAAATGCCAGTGTTGCTAATTTGGTACAATTACATAAGACAGACTACAGCATTTTAGAGACTCAAATTCCACCGTCTTAGAGGCTGCAAAAAGAGCAGTCCATCTCTCCTCACTCAGGACACAAATGAAAATCCAGAAACAAAATGAAACAACTCTGTGGTGTGGTGAAACAGATTGTAAAATTTACCACATAGAACGAAGTCCTTATGATTGTCCTGGCAGAAATAAATTCATTTAATTAGAAATGTGCTAGTGAATGCATGCAACTAGAGAGGATGAAAGCTTCCAACCTGGAATAAAAGGAAGTTCTGTGTTCCATTGGTTGATTGTACATCTGAAGGCAATTCAAATCTCCGACGACTTTCAAATATTTGCAACCATGTCAGACTGGCTTGATTTCCCATTAAAATATTCATGTAAATTATGCTTTAACTTGCACATGCTAGACATATCACAGAAAATGCTGAGTCAAAATGAAGCAGCTGCTCCTTCCTTAATGTGTGAGAGAGATGATAGGCCAGGCCTGTGCTGTAAAGGGTAGATCTAAGAAAGGAGTTCCAAGAAACAACAATTTCAGTTAGAACCCAGCTTTTAACATTCACCCTGGAAAGGAAACTGCTGCATCACAAAATAACTCCTAGGAATTCTTTTCCCAAGATTTTCCTACCTTCATCATTTTAAATCTTCTCTTGGTAGCATATATATTTGTGTCAAATCAAGTACAATCAGCGATTTAAAGAACCGGGTAGTAATTTGTCTTTTTCATTCTGTCAAAGAATCTGGCTTCAAAATCTAACAAGAATACATGCTTAGTTACAAACAGAGGATTTGAATGCATGTTTGATTTGCATGTTCTCTGCACTTAGAGCCCCAAGGGACTGAGAGGAATGTTTTCACACAAGCCGAATAGAGGACGCTTAGTAAGTCTCCAGTCCTTAGGTTGATGGAAAGAAGTACCATGCAACATGCACAGGCCACCTCCCAGAAAAGGAAATCAGGGTCAGCACCAAAGCCACCTGACAAAAAAGCAGCAATGTCAGTCTTTCCACAGGCCATTCCAAAGTCTCCCATGCCCATTGCACTGCAGCTGTTTGAGGGCATCACTTTCTATTCCTGCGATTAAGGGAGCCAACCTGGTTGAGGTGAAATGCTGAACAATTTGAATTCTCACCCCTTTTCCTTTTCAAACTAAACGAAGGAAGAAGAAAGAGTGTTTTTGTCCCTCATCATGTTTTAGGTTTTTACTATTAGTTGCTATTATGTCATTAAGACTAGAAGCTGATTGGATAATAAAGAAAGAATTATGACTGCAGTTTCATTCCCTCTCCACCATATACAATTAGTTGCCCAGCTCGTTCAGTTCCTGGCATTGCTAGCTCTCCCCCAGACTTGAGAGATAAAAGCTTGAGAAAGGTCAGTCCCCAAGAGGCAGCAGTAGCCTCCAACACAGTCCTCTGCACTGAGCAACATGGTGCCCTTAAGCTTTGGATTTCTCCTGCACTTTTACACTAACACACCAGTGAAATAGGGAATGTGCTTTCAGGGACATGGGTGGGAACACCCAAATGATCACAAGAAGTGATTCTCGTGCCGTTTCTTAAGGGAAAAGTGTTTGGATGCATTTGCTCTCTGAGTTCCCTGCTGTGGGATGGCATTGTTTAAAATCAGACACCACCAGCTTCGTGGGACTGAAATGTTTTGTATGTGTTGTTGTTTGCAGTGCATGCCAAGACATTCATGAGCAGCAGAGCCAAGCTGGCGAGCTAATTAAATATATATATGTATGTGTTTAAAACAGCCTAATAAGGAGCATTGGAAATCTTCAAGATGAGCGAATATCTTATAACTTCTTCCGCAGGTGCGAGGATAGCTACAAGCCATGGACTTTCTGTCCTGCTTCTTGTTTGTGGCTTTGTGAAGGGTGCTTTGCTTTAATCTAAAGTGCTGACTTTTTTCCAATATCACTTTCTCTTCTTAAAGCAAAGAGCAAATCGCCTGTAAAATCTACGGAGCGGACAGCAAAGTTGACCCTAAACTCCAAGCACCATTCTGCACCCCTGTACTCTAGTTACCTACACAAGGAGCATCAGCTTCCGGAAGCATAAGCGAAGAGGCTATTACACGCTTTATTGATAGTATTTTCTTTGGGAAGTCGCTGATCTTTTATTTGAAGAGAATTAATGTGAAGCGATAGGACATTTTCTAATAACAAGATCTGTTTTTTTTGTTGTTGTTGTTTTCTTTCAACAAATAAAATTTACATTTCACTAACTGCTCAGGAGTTGGCCTGAAAGTCATCAGTATAGTAGATATTTCCATGGATTCCACCAATTTCCTACTAAGGGACACCTAATCCGAATGAAGCAAACAAAGATGGCAAGCCTAAGACATGCAAACTATCTTCAAGCAGCACCCCAGCTGGGGAAACAAAAAAACAAAATGCTGGACTCTGCGGATCAACAACATGCAACTTTATTTTACATAAGGAAGAATCAGAGCAATTTTTTTTTTTTTTGGAAAAAAAAAAACCTTCTTTTTCCCCCGTGGAATCTTTCCTGGAGTTTCCCTTCTTTTCCTTGATTGCCGTTCTTGTTCCGTGGTAGCAAGTGCCAATTATGGCCAATCCTAGTCAATCCTGGGAGGTTTATATTCATACATATTGAGTGTGCTATATTTCAATGTATTTTAATTCATTTTTGCAATTTCTGTATATGCAAACCTGGCAAATTCTGTAAATTGCTTCTAGTATGTGTGATATGACTTCAAGGTAGATAGATATGACCCTCATGCAAGCTGACTTTCTTCATTCTATATGCAAATATATCCACGATCATATATTAGGCCACCAGCTTCTTTTCCTAAAGCATTATTTTTCTTTTATAACTCACGTATTGTGTGAATTCTGTAGTGTGTTTCTCTGTTCCACTGGTTTGATAGCTACGGTTTGTCTCTGTTGTCCTCTGCTTCCTCCTGGAAAATGCATATTTAAATTGTATATGTCTCTGATAAATGAATTAATTTTGTTGTGTATATGCCATGTTGGAATTTGCTGCGTTCTTTTATATGTGTGTTTATTGAGGTTTGGGGATCTCGAGTCCGAAGAATGCACACCCTGGTTTTGACAAATCTCCTCATGTTATCAATATTCTGTCTCGGAAAAAGAATGAGGCCAAGTGGGAAAATTGAAGAAGATATTTTGACTCAGGTTCCTGGAAGAGTACTTCACATTCAGACTAAATAACGCTGCTTCCTTTGTTCTTCAAGAATTTTTTAGCTTTGTCATTCTGTTATTTGCTGCTAATTATATTTTAATGTCTACTAATTAAAATTTAAAATGTGATTGTTGGCTGAATACAATATGCAAATGACTGCAAACCCCGTACTAAAGAAGATAGGTGTTCAATCGTCACTCATTAATCATAGTTTTAAATATTCTGTTGTTATTTTTGACTTTATTAATGTTGTTTAGACCCATTCTAAATCAATCTTTCTCTGGCAAAGAAAGATATAACAATTAATACAGTCCCTCTTACAAAATAGAATAGTTACAGTTTGAGAAAAAAACACATCCAGATAGTCTTCCAGAGAAATTATTATATTTGCTTTCAGTATGAATTCAGAACACCATCTGTGTTGGAATGGTCCATTCCCAGCTTAAGGTTCTAAATTGAAGCTTGAAGGCTGTGAATACCTTTGATTTTTTTTAAGGTAAAGGGCTGGACTCTGCCATTCTATAAGCAATGTGTATATTTTCATAACATTCTTGATATTCTCTTTTAAGAAGTATTGTTTTATGCTAAATCTTTCCTTGCCATTTTTCTTGTTTCATTTGATTCATTATTTCATTCTAGTGAGAAAAATAAAGGTTTAATTGTGATACTTTATTAACACACAAATGTATTTTCTTTCAAAGTTAAATATCTGAAAGTTGTTTAGAATGATAGGTAAATATTACCTGTTAAGTCTCTTTGAGCTTAAAGAATGCCATACATGAAGGTATATATTAATATTCTGATTTAAAGTCAACGATACTTGGAAAAACCATCATGTATTCTATTTTTACTCAATGTCCAATTAATGATATTAGCCAAGTCTACGTAAGCCAAACTTGTATCCATATCAGCAATGTTCATCATGCTTGTAATAAAAGAGCACATGCTAGTTTGGGAAGAATGCTCACTAGATTCATTGTATCAGTGTCCAAAATAATAAAGACCTGTGTATCACTGTGTGACCAAAGTCCAGCCAACCCTCCACTTGCATAAAGGAAGACGGCATACTATCTGTTTGTTCTAAACTCCAAAAAGTACGGAACTTTAAACATTAGAGCAGAAAATAGAGCTGTTAATGAGACCTTGTAAACAGGTGTACACTGTTATATTAATTTGGAACTATATTTTTTTATGTAGCCATGATTATGGAAATGAGTAGAAATGCAAAAGTATCTGGCTTTCTCAACCTTGTCTCCAAGGTTATATAGTATCTTTTATAAGATAGTTAGAAAAAGTTGAAATTGCTTACATAAGTTTAAGCTAGAGATTTTATTTCTTAAAGATTTATAGGCCATTAACAAAACAAAGGAGGCAACTGAAAATCCTCCCAAACAAAATAAGATAATAGAATTCTCTGAAACAGAAGCTATAATCTGAGTTAGTAAGGAAGCTTATGGAGAACCAGCCCCGTTGACAGTCAGCCCTGCATGTCCTTCAGCGGCACACTAGGGCAACTATCCGTGCGGTGTTTATGCTGTATTAGGCATAGCAATTAGAGATGATTTAACATACAGCAGGAAGTGTTTATCATTTTCAAACACTGTGTCATTTTATCCAAGAGACTCGAGTACCCACAATATTCTGATATCCAATGATAAGCTTGTGTAGCCATCTATCTACAGATGCTAGAGGGAGAGCTCTATGTGAATGGTTTTTCTGACATTCATTTTATAGAGACAGTCCTTGGCATGTATTACTTCTAAAAAGTAATCTAGTCGTGGTTTCCTCGCCTGAGAAAGAAATACATAAATGATTTTGGGAACCTAAGAAGTCCTCATTACTATGTGTTTGAAGTAGCCTACCTTCAAGTTCTCAGAAACAAAATGTGTTCAAGTAAACATATTACTACATATACATACACACATATTTGGCAAACAAAGTATTTTTTTAAGCCTAGAAAAAATTAAATTTATTATATATACATGGATGGAAAAATAGATATAGAGTATCATTTGTTGACTTCTTAAAAAAGATGCTAATAAATAAAAGGAATAGTGTCACATTCCTGTAGTCCCAAGACTTAGCAGGTTTGAATAGGAAAATCATGAATTCAAGTCTAACCTGTCTACACAGTGAAACCCTGAATCAGTTAAAAAAAAAATATATATATAGTTTAATTTTTTTAAAAATGCACAGATATTGTTCCTGTATTAATATTATATAGGAAATAATATGTTGGCAGTTGTGTTACTTTGTATAAAAAATAATCATGAAGTAAAAGCAATCTTTCTTGAGACAACACATAAATTGATGATTTTATCTTTGAATTGAGACTATGAAGCCAAAAGTCATGAGTCTTCTAAATTTCAAGTATTTATACCAAGCAGTTTTAAATTTAAAATGATTCATTAATAAATGGAGCTCTCTGTCATTCAGGAAATGTCGCCATGAGGTAGATAAGGCCTTTCCCTGTGTAACGTGAGACACAAGAGGAAAACATTCAAAAGCAAGAAATTGTGCAATGCTGATACATTCTGTGAAGACCCAAGTGGAGGACGATAAAGGAGAGCGGCTAGGAAGTCACGGGAGGTTGCTCTGAGGGTGCAGTTATGCAATGATAAGAAGCAGAGGATCTGGGAGAAGTATCTTCAGAGAGAGGGAACAGACTGTGCCAACCTCCTGAAGCAAATATCAGGTAGAGTTGTCCAAGGGCTAGTCTGTGAACACAGGCCTGCAGAAAGAAAGATGGGGAGGGCAGGGGACCTGAAGAGAGTCTGAGGTAGGATTACACAAGGAATCTTCAGAGGGTACTGAACCTACGGCACTAACAAAGCAGAGCTAGAACTTACAAAGATCCCACTAAGAGGTTTGATTCCACTCTGAAGAGACAGGCTTATTCTATCATCCTAATGCATAGTCACAGTTTATCACGTTAACAAGACTCTTTGGAAACAACACTGAAGTTTTCAAATTGTTTTTATTTTTTGTGTGTATGTGTGTGTGTGTGTGGCTGTGTGTATGGCTGTGTGTGTGTGGCTATGTGTATGTCTGTGTGTGTGGCTGTGTGTATGTCTGTGTGTGTGGCTGTGTGTATGGCTGTGTGTGTGTGGCTGTGTGTATGGCTGTGTGCGTTGCTGTGTGTATGGCTGTGTGTGTGTGGCTGTGTGTATGGCTGTGGGTGTGTGGGTGTAGCTGTGGGTTTGTGTATAGTTGTGTATGTATGAGTGGGTGTGGCTATGTGTGTGTGTGTTGCTGTGTTTGTGTGTGTGGCTATGTGTATGGCTGTGTGTATGTGGCTGGGTGTATGTATGTATTGCTGTGTGGCTGTGTGTGTGTGTGTATGGCTGAGTGTTCATTTGTGCATAGTGAGGACAGAGGAGTATGCTGTGTGTCATGGTCTGTCATTCTCTACCTTATTCCCTTGAGACAGGGTCTCTCCCTGAACCTGGAACCCGACTAGAAGAGAGCAAACCCTAGGAATCCTCCCACCCCCGTGTTTACAGCATTCTCAGTCACACCAATACTTGTGCAGTATGTGATTTACCCACTGAATCATCACCCTAAAACAAATTGCTTACACTTTTATACTGATACTGTGTAACTTCAGGAGATGTGAGACATTAACATGTTTTAATGCTAATATGCAGTTGATACTATTCAAGGACAAGACAGGAGATTGAAAACATAATTGGGACTGTTTGGAATATGTAATGAACTAGTTACTGTAACTGCATTCATGATTTAAAGTAAAAGCATGGGTACATTAGCCCTCCTCTAGTTTAAGTTACCTGCTGTCAACCATACTTTGAATGTAGTAAATGGAAAATTCCCAAACCATTCATGAATTTAAAGTGTATGTTATTCTGAGTAGCGTAATAAACTACACATCACTCTATGAATCAATCTTTTATTCAAGAACTACATACCATTAGGTACTTAGCCATCCCAGCTACCAGATGCACTGTGGTGGTTTCCTGGGGCTTATGTTCAACTGATTACTGTCACAAGAGAAATGATGATAGCAATTCAGTTATGACAAAGAGAAGCTGTGAAATGCTTACTTTAAGTAAAAAGATAAAAGTTCTCAACTATGTCAAAGATGAGTATATATAAGAAAAAATAGTATATAGAATATTCTGTACTAACCATGGCATCAGGCATCTACTGGGGGTTTTGGAACATATCCACCTCTGCAACAAAAAAGAGGAGGGACTCCCTTATTCTAAAGGAAAGAGCAAGCAGATTAGAAGACACTCCTAGACATTTATTGGAAAGACTGTTTCTTAAAAGGTAGAGGGAAGAGAATTCATTATACCACATACATATACCCACAAGCTTATTTTTAAATATCAGAATTAAGATATTGGAATTCTCCACAATAAAAATCTCAGAAGACAATAGATTAAATGGTAAGGATCTTTGAGTGCTTGCTAAGAATGCATGTCTGAAGGCCAAGGCAGGAAAATCACAAATTCATGGGCAGCCTAAACTTGAAAATGAATACCTTCCCTAAGCAAACAAAGCAAAAGATTACAGTGTTTTCAAGGGAAAATTTGTCTCAAACCCATCTTATGTTGTATTATATTTTCATTGATAAAACAATAAAATCGTTATGAGGTAGACAAAGTTCTTTGAAAAATAATATGTATGGACTCTTAAGATTTTTTTTTATTTTAATTGTGTGTGTATGTGTGTGTGTATACACGTGAGTGAAGATGCCCGTGAAAGACAGAAAAGGTCTTTGGACCTTCTGGAGCTCGAATTGTCTGTGCAGCTGCCCAACATGGATACTGAGTACCAAATTTAGGTCTTCTGGAATCTCACGACACAATCTTTTGTCATCTTGCCAGCCCCAGATGTGTGAACACTTACAAGTAATGCTTTGCTGTGTGCCCCAACTGCGGCAATAATCACGCATGATGTTGTGAGTACCAATAAGATAAACTGTAAACCACAGAAAATTTGAAATTGGTCTAAATATAAAGAATAATAAAGTATTTTATTGTATTTCACTATATATGAGAGGATTTACAAAATATTACCATTATTTTGTGCATGCATGGTAGTATTTTCAGTTTTGTTCTGTTCTATTCACGTATATTATTATACTTTAGTTTGACTTTACAGATACACTTTACAAAACAATCACAGGTATATTTCATTCCAAAGAACAATTAAATGCCAAATATAATCGAAACTCACATTATATTATTAAAAAATGGACAGTCGAAGATGAACCACAGAAAGAAAGGCTCTTTGCCTTCTGCAGGTGACTGTAGTGACCAGGGTTGGAGTTCTTCTTCATGTCCATAGTCTGTGCTTCATCTGGGTTCTGTTCCAGGCTGCTAAGCTAAGTCTAGTTGGCAGCAGACTTTCCCCTAGGATTTGAGGAGCACCCGAGTGAGCAATATGGCAGTACTCTAGCTGGCTTCCATCCTGCCCCTGTTGCCCAAAGAAAGAGACATAGACGTCAGTACTTAGCCATTCCCATGGCCTAGTTTGAATGGTGGGAGTCTTGAAGGAAGCAGAAGAATGCCTTTCTTGAATCCTCACTAGGTTTCAATGACCTGATAAAAATATTCCCCATTCCTTGACTTGAAAGCAGACAACAAAACGCTACAATAAAGTCACAGCCCACCACCAAAGTCATAATGAAGTCCCAGCCCTACTGAAGCCCATCACCAAAGTCTTCATGAAGTGATGACCCCACCCAAGCCCATAACCAAAGTCATCATAAAGTCACAGCCACACCCAAGCCCACCACCAAAATCATTTCATGAACCCAGAAGACTGTATGGAAGAAAGCGCTGACCCTAAAAATACTTTATGGCCCTCCTAACAGAAATATTTCTGTCAGCCTTACTTCAAACTGAAGCTTTATAAGTAAAATACCAGAAAAGGAGAAATGCCTATATCTTACTAGGTTCTCAAACTATGGTTCAGGACTACTATTATAGCCTATGGACTCTGGAGTAATCTGTTCAGCAACTTGGGGGATACAGCAGAGTTGTAGGTCTAATGAATCCACTGTGTCTGTGAGCTCCCCCAGGTTGTAACACACAGGGGAAATGTGTAGCTTTAGAAATGGAAAAAAAAAATTCCACATAGATTTTTCTGCCCTATCAGGCAGTGACGACAATTCTAGAAAAGACCCTGAAATTTCTCCTCTGTACCAAATTTGTCAACTGAAAACAACTCATTTTCTCTAGAAAAATGAAGAACTCTTACCCTTTCAGTTACAAGGATAATGCTTTCATATCTGTCCTTGGTGGTATGAGAGGCAGCTGAGCCTTGAGGATGGATAATCATAGCCTAATCACGTGGTGCGTGCAAGTCTAGTTGCTGGTCCAGGTGTGGATCACTTCCTGGGGAAATGAGAAGCACTCCCAACACCTGCATAACGTCAATTATTGAGTCACCTTCTACTTGATTGTAAATGGAATTTTTAAAAAGAAGATATTTTTAAACCTGGCAGGTATACAATTACTGCCGCTTTATCAAATATTTCGCCTCAATGTTGCATTGACTCTTAGCCACACTGACACATTAGACACTTAGACACATTGACTCTTAGTCTGCTTGGCCAGATCCTATGATAATGTACTAAAGACATACAGAAATAGGGAAAATATAACACCCTAGAGTCCTCAGAACACATATACAGCCTATAAGATAGTATAAAACTATGGACAAGAGTTGGCTGCAAGTTCATGTTTAAATATCCAACAAAATATTAATTTTACTTTTACACAAACTATCAGTGAATACTGATGGAACTGATGAAACTATGGAACATTCCCCAGTTCTGTTGGAAGACCTTGCTGGTCAGAGATCACAGTCTGTTGGACCTGTCTGCTTTTTCCAAAGCTCAAGGACTTGGGAACTCCCTCCTCAGCGAGACTTCTTGCTTTCTACCTGCCCCTGGACCCCGAGGACTGACCTTTTTTGAAAGTTGTCTCTAATCCTGGTTGCCTGATTTATCTTTAGCATGACCCTTGTCACAGTTCTCTGCTAGAAGTCCCTACTATACATAGGGTTACTAAGATTTATACTAGGAGTTCTGCTATAGGACCTCACTGCCTCATACAAAGTTTTAAGATAGGAGCATGCCACTTAATGCAAATTAGGTGATGCCTCAACCACTATCCCCAGTCTTTATATTCCCCTTTCTTTTTGGAATAAAACAGAGTTATAACACTAAATCATTCCCCCAAAGGACTGGCTCCACTGACTCACAAGCCATCCTACCCTATTCCCTCGCTTTGGTTTTCTGCCTCGTTGCTGAGGGTGGCTGTCTATCAGAGAAAGAAGTTGACCCACAAGCTCATTTGTGAGACTCATATTACCTTGTTAGAAAATTTGACGATGACAGTGTGAAAAAAATGGAAATTATGACTCACTCTAGCTCATGACTATAGGCGCTAAACCCCATAGAATAATGACAAAACACAACCAGCAAAATATAACGCATCATATAAAATAAACATGGTGCACTCGAGAGAAGTAAATTGGAAAAGCCACCAATGACATTCTCAGTCCCACCGAGACACAAGATGAAGACTTGTTTCTAATTAACTCATATAGCAAGTTCAGTACCATGCATAGACAGAGAAGAAATACAAAGACAGAATGTGTTAGCAAAGGCATTTCACCCCATGGGAAACTCCAGATAGTAGAAATTCCACCGCCTTGACCAGAGCACAGCAAGACCTATGCAGCTTCCAAGACTACATCCAGTGACAAAATTGTAGATTTTGACAGTTGGAGATGTTTGCACATAATGAACCACTCATGTAGATATGAGCCATAACAGTTACTGCTGCATGCCGGGCAGTGGTGGCGCATGTCTTTAATCCCAGCACTTGGGAGGCAGAGACAGGCGGATCTCTGTCAGTTCAAGGCCAGCCTGGTCTACAAGAGCTAGTTCCAGGGCAAGCTTCTCACAACAGATGAGAAAAACAGATATATATATCTCAGGGAAGGAAAAACATATTTGATGAAATTAAATATTTGTTTTTGATTAGATACTTGAACTTTTAAAAATGTAGAACATGACAAAAATGTTCAGTTTCCATATCTATGGGAAGCATTTATCTAAATATTCCTAGTTTAAAAAACATACATGGAGGACCATTATAGGATAACATACAAATCATAGGTTTGTTGACTCAAGAGAAACTGGAAAGCAAAAATAAATAAATAAATAAACAAACAAACACGAACTATCTACAACATAAATTATAGATGAATCTTCAAGTCATCTTGACTGTTTAAAATGATAAAGAAATATACATATTCTGGTTTAATCTATACATTTCTGGATATTCACTCCCTCCCTCCCCCCTCTCTCTGCACATGAGTTTGTGGGTGTATATACATATGCACGCTAGATTCCTGTTTGTATTTTTTACTAATTAAATAGAAATAGGACTGAGGAAATTGCTTCATTGATAAAAATGCCTACCATGCACGCACAAGGGTCTGGGTTCGTATTCTCAGAAATTTTCAGAATCTACATTAAAGGTCGGACAATATGGAGTGTGCCTATAACTCCAACCCTGAGAGAGCAGGGCAGAGGTAAATTCCTGAAGCTCACTGGCTAACCTATCTAATTTAATTCACGAGGTTGGGGGCTCATTTATAGATTCTTTATCAAAAAATAAACATGAAGAGCAATCAAGAAAAGACACCCAACATCAACTACCATGGGCTTCCATACATATTGCGTATCTGTGCATATGCGCCCACAACTTACACCCTCCAACCCTCACCCATCTTCACACATACACGGGGGGGGGGGGGGGGGGGGAGAGAGAGAGAGAGAGAGAGAGAGAGAGAGAGAGAGAGAGAAACCAGAATCATGCAAATTAAGTTAGATATCAAAGCAAGTCCAAAAATTTCGTCTCCAAAAAGAGATTACTGGCACCCTGTCTGCTCTACCACTGAAAGTAGGCACAGGCTTATGCTTCACTGTGTATTCTGGAAAAATGCATACTACCATGAGGTGAATACTTGGTCTGTTTTATGTGTGTGTGTGTGTTTTATAACCTGTAAGTGTGTCAACTTTCAATGCAAACCAGAAGAATAAGGGTCATAAACCTGGCCCAAGTCATGATAAAAACATGATAGGTGCAATGGAGTTCAAAGTGTCTCATTAGCAACAGCAGCAAACTATCCAGGGCTACAGAGATAATTTAGTGCCTAAGAGCACTGGCTGCTCTTGCAGAGGTCCTGAGTTCAATTCCCAGCAACCACACAATACTTCACACCATCATGCAATGATATCTGGTGCCCTCTTCTGGCGTGCAGGCCTTCATGCAGGCAGAACACTATAGGCATGATAAATAAACCTTTGAGCAGGGTGGCACTAACCTTAATACTCAGGAGGCAGAGCAGACAGATCTCTGCGAGTTCAAAGCCAGCCTGGTCACTGGTCAACAGAGCTATTTACAGGACAGCTAGGGCTGTTACACAGAAAAAACATGTCTTAAAAAACAAACAAACAAACAAACAAATGGCAAGTTACCGAAAGCCACTGAAATCTTCCTGACAGTGAAAACAAGCACATTGTTGTGGCTCAGTCCTGTGTTCTGTAGCAAGTAACTGACCTACCATAATTAACACCGTAGCACTGTTGTTATTTA